TTTTTTTTTGAAAAAACGACGCGAAGTCGCGACTCATGTGACATCACCGCACCGTGGTCATATCTTGCTTTAAAGTGGACAAATTCTTAATTAATGGGCACCATTCGACTCAGCTCTGCGCGCCGCATCTTTTAATGCACAGAGATGTCTGTTCGGACACAGCAAAAAACCGTATTTCTTGAATCGTTGCAGGTTTTTACTTACCTAGGCTGCCCAGTGAGTGCAATGAATAAACAGACTGAGTAACTTACCGTAAGTAAAAATCTAAAACGATTCGTGGAATCCGGCCTCTTACTGTGTCGGAATAGACACTTCTATACATTAGAAGATGCGCCGCGCCGAGCTGAGTCGAATGGTGCCCTTGGATCAAAAGTTCGTCCACTCTGAAGCAAGGTATGGCTACGCTGTGGTGATGTCACACGAGGCGCCTTCGCGTCTTTTTTTTTTCAAAAAATACGAGCGGTATTCTATAAATACTATAGTTTTCTAAACATGCCCATCCCAGGACGACAAGAAGGATCCCGCATTCAAGACGCATCTCAGATTCCTTATAAATATAATCAAATCGGCAGACAAGGATGGGGATATGAAGATCACTTTCGATGGTGAGCAAAAATTTGAGCCCAACCATTTTCTTCCCAAATACAGCATCAACCACAAAAGGTTTATTTCGTAGTGTCATTCAACTAGATCATAACGAAGTTTGCGGAAAGTACAGTTGTTTTACTAACAATAAGTCCTGAAGGAAATATTGATTTTAGCGTGGAACACCCGAGCGAGTAGAGCTAAATCCGGTAATTTGCGATGACTAGGGCTTGTGCAAAGCTGTAAATTACGGTTATACTTCTAAGGGCTTGCAGCATACAAACACATGAATGGAAAACAGCATAATCTCGTTTTTGTGTAAGCATAAAAATTTCGTTTTTTCGACTTCTAGGTGAGGAAAAAATACAGCAAGGTACATATGGTTTGTGATGCAATGTAAACTGGAAACCTGTAGGGCTTTTTTGAACGAAGATATGAATTTTTCCCAGTTTATTGAGCCTTCAGTGCAACTCATTTTGGATGCAAACTTACGATGAATCGAAGTTGGTGCAAACTTTTGCACACCATCTTGTAGAGCTTGCTTTGCCCTATCGATTGGTACCCTGAAGACCTATTGAAATTATGAAGTATACGACTTGTTGCCATAATAAAGTGTAACAAGACTTTTAACCTAATATTTGCTGGTTGCCACCAGTCACCCATTTCTTAGTATTCCGGAATTGAGCACCTTTAGAAATTTGAGAAGCCCTAAGGACTTTCTTGAAGGAAATTACTCTGGAATTCGAAAAAAATTGTCCGAAAAATGTTTAATCAGTTTTTTTTCGAGACAAGAGGATGCATATCTTTCCTTACTTATTTTCTAACGACGGTTCGATAAACTTTAATGGGAGGGAAGGGAGACAAAAAAA